ACTAACTTTATTGGATTATAAACAAACCCAACTGAGAAACAGTTCTCCCAGAACAGAACCCACTTGTAAGTCTGGGACTTACTGTATCAACTTCCAGGGGTGCCAATAAGTCCACAAAGCTCAGAGAACCTCAACAACTCACCCAAGACCACGCAGTTACCGAGTAGTGAAGCTGTGGTTTCAACCCAAGCTGTTGAGACTCAGACTATAATTTCTGACCAGTAGCACCGCTGTCCCTGAGACATCCAAATGAAGGTCTCCAATACCATCTGCAGAAAACAGAAAACTGGTCATTTTCATTTCCACTTGGGCAAGAGGAGACAACCAATAATCAGTTTCCTACTATGAATTCATCGGGGGCCACATGTTCTGGGGGAGAAAAAAACCAAAGAGACAATGCCTCTAATTTCAAAGAGGTTTGTCTAATCAGGTAGAGACCCCCATAAGAAGTGCAATAGGGGTTATGATCTTAATTATTTGACAGCCCAGTCTCTGTAGTTCTTAGCAACAGTTGCAGCTATGACATTATACCAGGGACTTTTAGTGCTTTGTCATCCTCAGGAAAACCCTGTGGAATGGGTACTGCCATGATTGACACTTTAAATTTTTTTTTTATTTTATGAAAAAAGCAAAATTTCATAATGAAGAAGAAAATACCTGGTTATTACACTGTGTATCATTATCGTCAAAGTAGTCACTCAGAGTATAGGACATAAACCAAAAAGATTCCTAGCAAAAAGGAACATATAATAACATGAATCTTTCTTTCCAATGAGCTAAGTTGAACTTGTACAAAAGAAACCAATTAGCATATATATTTAAATATCTTCTAAATTTTAAAGAGAATAAAAAAATATTTTTAAAACATTAGAAACAATACAGAATTTCAAAATACAAGGTGAGAGGAATTCAACAAATGTTATTACATTGCATATTGTTGTCTTCAAAGAAGTAGTGCAGATTACCAGATATAAGCATGTACAATTGGTAAAAAAATTAAGCAAGAAGTGTTTCTTTCAATAAAATAATAAAAATTAGTAGTACAGTTATCTTAGCTATTATGTGAGTATATATATTATTTTCCTTTCTTTCTTTTTCTTTTCTCATCCCAGTTGTTTTTTTCCTTTTGAGCAATTTCTTTCCCTTTCACAATATCTATTGTACCTTTCAGATTTTATTTGCTCTTTCAGGTTCTTATACTAGGGAGACAATGTGATGTTTTTGTTGTTGCTGTTTTTCTTTTAATGTGTTTGGTACAGGGTCTCACTTTGTAGCTCAGACTTGTAGCAATCCTCCTGTTTTCAGCCTCCCCAGCCCTGAGATTACAGGTATGTGCCACCACGCCCAGTCTGGGTGCCCAGCACAGTGCACCCACAGTGTCAGGCAGGCATGGCATGTGGTGCTGGGGATCGAACCCAGCTTGTCTGTCTTGTGCTTGCCTAAGCAGGCGCTTAGTCTGCTGAGCTATCTTGCCAGCTCAACAATGTGATGTTTACACATCTGGGTCTGATTTATTTCACTTGTGAGTGTGGTCTCTAGTTGTATCCATTCAGCTATAAGACCCTTGAGTTCATCTTTCTTTATAGCTGAGTAATACTCTGTTGTAGAACTATACCACAGCTATTCCCCTTCTGGATATTTTGCCAGAAGAACTGAACACATACTTCAGCAATATATGTGCGTGCATGTTTATAGCAGCACAATTTGTCACAGCTAAAACTTGGAAGCAACCCAAATGCCCATCATTTAAAATATTTTTAAAACAAAGGAGGGCTGGAGAGATGGCTCAGTGGTCTAAAGCACCTACTTAGAACAAGCTT